TTGTTGTGGAAAGGGAAAGGGAAATCAAAAGGTTAGAAAGCACTTCTGATCAGATATGGCTGTTTCCTCATTGTGCATATGTGTGTGTGTGTGTGTGTGTGAGAGAGAGAGAGAGAGAGAGAGAGAGAGAGAGAGAGAGAGAGAGAGAGAAATGCATCACAAATGATAAGTGTGTGGGTTCATGTTATCTTTGCTGTTCCCAAGGAGCATCAGCGAGTGCTTTGCTCCCAAAAGACCTGAGTTTGATTCCCTAGTGGGAAACACATTTTTTAAGGTGCCTCTTTTTTTCTGCTGGGATGTTTTACACACAGCCTGAGCCAGTCTTGACAGACAGGATTGACACAGGTTATCTTTCTGAGTATCTAAAATGTGTAAATTGGGCTGTAAAAATTCCATTGCTGTCGCACAAATATTATGTTACTTTCTTTGATCTTGCTTCACATGATAAGTTAAAATAAAAAACATTTAATTTCTCAATTCTCTTGTGACATTGTCAGTTTGTAACAAAAGTTCAACAGTGTATTTATACATCTATTGACTTGTATTATTATGTCAACTTTCCTGTTATATTGTTAAAGTGAATTTTTATTACTGTACAAGTCTATTGAATTTTGAGTAGTGTTTAATTCTTTAGTAGAAATTTTTACTCTTAATCGATTATGTATGTGCTTTACATACCTGTAATTTGTGTCACTAGGCAGGAGAATCAGACGCTTGTCAATATTTGAGCCTATAGAGTTATTAGTAACATCTTAAAGCTTGCTCATTTGCCTTGCATTTCGCGAAAAAATACTCATATTTATCTAAAATAGAAGTGAAGATATTTGCGGCTGAAGGAGATTGGGGTCGCCTGGTGTTACCGGTAAAATTATCGAGAGAATGGTCCTTCCAAAGCTTAGATGTCCTTGGAAACTGCAAAGTTAAATTTTTTTATGCCTTTGATCAATTAAAAAAAAAAATCAACACAGAAATGTGTTCTTACATGGACATGAAGGTGGTGAGCCACAAACAAAATTGGAAAAGCATTGCCCATGGCCAGAAAAATGCCGGTTTCCTTGATTACATTATTTTGATGAGTGCCTGATTTCACCACGGTGCCTCATATTTTAAAAATTGTGATGTAGATTGATCATCGCATTGAGATGACAAATAACGACAAATTCTGTTCCCAGCCCAAGCCAGTGCACGGCATCAAGTCCCGTAGTCAGGCCGGATTCTTGTTCTGGGATAAAGGGGAGGACCCGGAGAAACGAACAGAGGTAAGTACGTCTCTGCGTTTGTGCAGAAAAATATTTCCTGTTTGTGGTTGTTTTGTTTTTTTTAGATATTAGTAAACAGTGTTTCCTGCTCGGCTTGTCAGCAGGAATTATGAGAGAGAGAGAGAGAGAGAGAGAGAGA